AATCCCATCTCGAAATGCGCGCGAGACCAACTTCGGAGGATCTAAACCTACACACGTGCAAACTGGATCTCTCGCTCCTTCTCTTTCCGTCTCCTCCTCTTCCCGCACCCTCGCCCTCATCGTCCCGGCTATCTCTTCAACGTTCTTCGCTGCTGCTTCCTCTCCCTTCGCGTCTTTCGCGCGACCTCTCTTTCTCCGAGAGATTCACTCGCCCTCTCTCTCTCGCTCGTTGGCCCGAGTGAAAGGGACGCGGAAAGAAGGGATGACCGAACCTGCGTCGCACTGTGAGAAAGGTGCAAGTACAATCGTCGACCGCTTCGTCCAACGAGGGCAGTTAGAAAGAACCGGAGGAGAGAGAAAGAGAGTAAAAAAAAAAAGATTAATAAGAAGGGCTGAGATAAAGAGAAGGGAGCGGAATTGGAAGTAGTATCGGGAGGAAGGGTGAAATTGTCTCACGAGAGAAAGATCGGGGAGTAAATTGTTCTGCTTTCAAATATCGTCTCGCGTCATTAATTTCTGCTTCCGACGCGTTCAGCGGCAATACTTAATTTGCGGAAACGAGAAAAAGAACTAGATATTTATATTTTCGTGATAACACTGTGATAACAGTGTTCTGGTTTCATTTCGAATGACAAATTTGTAATAATAAAACCAGCGAATTAGACAACTGTATCTAATTATAATTATGCATGAATCATTGAATTAAGAATGCTTATATATATTTTAGATTATGATAAGGAAATTGGAGATAATCGAAAAATCGTCGAAAAATATCAAGCCATTATGATTTGCAAAATTGCGATATTGTCATAAAGAATAAAATATTGATTAAACTGATATTTTATAATTAATTAATATTTTTAACGTTTTGACAAATTTATTGATACACATATATACACATACACATAAATATTTAAATACTTGTGTAAGATATATGTTTAAATATTTATTTTAATTGAAAAATTTTAATAAAAAATAATTAAATTGGGATAAATTCTAATAGACGGGATATAACAGATTGAAGAAAAATTTCAGAAAGGGAACGATCGTAAGCGTATAATCACGTTTTAAAAAGGCTTAGAATCTCGAAAGCGTAAACACGTTACGAAGGCGGGAACGGTGGAAAGAGCAAAGTGTTTAATTGCATGTGTGCCGAGACACCGAGAGGAGGAGGACCTTGCGATTCCCTCCTCTCTCTCTTTCTCACTCTCCTTCTTTCTCCTCTTTTTCGCGCATAATGATAAACAGCAGCCGCGTGCTCCCTACAACGATTACGCAACGTCGCTTGGCCTTCTCTCGCGTACTCTGCAATTGTAAATTAGACCGCATCATAAATAAATAAATAGGGCGCAAACGGTCGG